GGGTTCCCCCCCCCCCCCCCTTTTTTTTTTAACGTCTTGATTAAAAGCACAACAACAGGTAAATTTGCTGTTTCCAAGGACTCTCAAGCTGTGGAAGTCACCAGGCGACCACCACCTCCACCCCACCCCACCCCACCCCACCCCTCCCATTTCAATCGTTTCAATAAAGAAGGGTATTTATTTTTCATCAGAAGCGAGGCAAACGAACAAGCTTTAAAAAGATTATACCAATAACTCCATACGCCCAACAAATGACGAGCGCATGATTTCACCGTGTCGTGGCACACTATTATTATGCTCTTGATAAGTTGTCTTTTTACTTCCGTTGATAGGTGCGAATGGGTCTGCGGTGGTTACAATTATTGGTATGTTATTGCATATTTACTTGTTGGACCTCATGTCAATTTCCCTGTCCGAAATGTTTTCTCTTGTGTAAATATACTTCCTTAGAATTTACATTCGTTCGTCAATCTGATGAGTTGTGTTGTGTCAATAGTGACGTTTAGTGGGCCCTGGGTTCTGCTGACTTTCTTTATCTTTTATTTGACAGTGCTGATTCTTATCTCTTATTCTTTGCCCCCTTTTCATTCAGGCTATTTGTATGTTCTTGCATGCTGTTGGGGTTCGAGTTTAAGATGCTCAGATTAATATGTGATGGTGTTGTCATTATAGTCTTTTCCTCTCTGAAGTCTCTCTCTATATATGTAACAAATAAAAGAGGTGAGAGCACACATTCTTTTCTTAACTCCTGGCACCCTTGGGGAACCAGGCAGTGAGTCTTCTCAATGTTCTTATGGCACAAACACTATTCTCATAAAGAGCCATATCATACGCTTTTCTAAAAGTTGGCGTTTTACTCCACACTCCAGTACCTCAGAATTACCTAGTTCTATCAGTTCAATACCTAGTTTTGAGAAGTTAGTCGTGAAAACATTTTCAGTTTCACAATATTTCAAGGTTTTTTTCGAATGGTGTACTTTGAATATCTTAATAGCGACTAGGAAGAATTTTACGAGTTTGATAGAGTAGATAAAGCATTTATTGAATTCTGACCTCATTATCTTAGTATCTCAAGACGACCAAGAATGTTAGATAAAACTTTGCTATTCTGAGGTAGAGATCAGTCCGCTCGATTGAAAGCCCTTTCCTGGTCCAGTGAAATTGTATATTGTTATTATGATTATGAATGGCTCTCCTCCCTGTTGTGTTTTGTTGATGTTCCTCTGGTCTGTCCCAATGAAAATTTGGCGTCTGTACATCCTCTGCCCTTTTCTGAGTACGAGGCTTCTCTCAGCTGTATAGTGTATAGCTTTACTTGTGGTACCCCGGGTGTCTTTGAAAGGCTCAGGACAGCAAAGTTCAGGTGCTTGCAAAAAAAAAGACAACATTATTTCTACAATAAATAAATCTCTAAATGTACATTTCTATTGTTAGATAGATAGATAGATAGATAGATAGATAGATAGATAGATAGATAGATAGATAGATAGATAGATAGATAGATAGATAGATAGATAGATAGATAAATGCCACTCCATTCTCACAAGAATGATTAAAAGTTCAAACTAGCCAATAATTAGATGGATGTTTTACGCCCTCATCGAGTCCATTAAGTTCTTAAAGAAGCCGTGTTGCATCTTCCCTGTCTGTCAAGGCCAACGCAAGCTAAGTAGGATTCATTACAGCAACTGAGCGGAACGACAGAAATATGAGGCAGCGTGGTGGAATCAGGCTCTCGTCAATTTTTGGGCATGAAGAGTTATTGGTATCATCGTAAAGTTTGTTCACTTGTCTTTATTAGGATGAAAAGAATATTCATTTATCTTGAATGCAAATTGATATATTTGCGAATGAAGTAGGTGGGGGTCACCTGTTTTCAGAGGTAAAATTTGTGAGAAAATGGCCGCCAAAGATTATTTATTTCCTTAGCTTAAGAGTCCTTGGTAACTGAAAATTTACATTTTTTGTGCCTTTAATCATCGTTTTTCAGAAAAATCCAAACAGAAATGAGTTCTTTAATGGGCATGACAGGTGTTGACCCAAAAAACTAAAATTTGAAAAAAATTCCCAAACCAACAGAAAAAAGCAAGTTTCTTCACTTTGATTATTTTGACGAGAGCCTGATTCCGCCACGCTGTATCCCAAATGTGTATTTGGTCAATATGTGATGTTAAACCCTTCCCTGCCTGGCCTGAGACTGTCTCAGTCTCTCTGGTTGGACGAAGAGTAGAAGCGAATTCCTGTGTTATATATATACTTTAATTTTACTTACTTTTACCTTTCTGTTTTTTCCTCTGGTATCATTATGGTGTCGAGGGGAGGTGCTAGTTTCCGTCCTGAGTTAGATTTGTAGCGTCTGTGATAGATATATGTTCTGTTATTCCAGGACCTTCTTAACCCCATCCAGCCAGGTCTTTCTTGGTCTTCCTCTTGATTTGGAGCCGGATTCTCGGGTGTTGTAAGCTCTAGCCGCTAGTGGTTTCTGGGGCATTCTGGTTAGATGTCCAAACCATTTGATTCTTTGACGCTCTATGAATTTTAGTACTCGTGGTACTCCAGTTTGTAGACTTGTGGTTTCGTTTCTTATGCTGTCTCTTCGGGTGACATTGATGGTTTTGCGGAGACACCTCATTTCGCATGCACTGATTTTTCTTTATTGTGCCTTGTTTAGAGGCTATGTTTGACACTGATATGTTAATGTTGGAATGAAGATGCTATTGAAGAGCTGGGATTTCACTTCGGCTGGGATGTTTTTGTGACTGAGCAGGGATGCTAGCTGGTAGGTCACGGCATTTGCCATCATAGTTCTAATTTCTCTTTCTTTGTTCATACGCCCATCTTGTGTGAAGATGCTTCCCAAATATTTAAATTGCTCTACTTGTTCGAGTTGAGTTCCGTCAATAAGGATATTGAGTTTCCCTGGGTTTCTGCTGACCTTCATAACTTCTGGGGTTTTTAGACGGAGATTTTCATGTTCAGGTGGTTACATTCCTCATTTAGTGTTGTGGTGGGTTTTTTTAACTGTAATTCCTTTTCATCTGTATTTAAATACTCTGGTAGTCAGCAAACAGAAGCTCTTTCAGTTCTGTGATGTTGTCATTTGCTGCTTTCGCGATCTTATTCTTGTAAGTGATGAAGAGAAGCGGAGAAAGAAACACCCTTGTCTTACCCCAGACCTGATGGGGAACCAGTCCGATAGTCCTTCGGTTGATCAAACGACACACTGGCTGTTTTTATAAAGCGCCATGATGTGTTTCAGCAATTGTCCTGTTACACCATATTCCTCTAAGACTTCCCAAAGTTGACATCTATCTACCCAGTCGAACGCCTTTTCCCGATTCACTAAGATGATATTATTGTCTTTGTCATGTGCAATGGCAGTCTCACACATCTGTCGAAATGCAAAAATAGCTTCTGTACAGCCCCTGTTTTTTCTGAAGCCAAACTGAGATTCACTGAGTTGAGTCTCTACAATTGGACTCATTTCCAGTATCATGGTAAACATTTAACCCCCATGGCTGAGAACCCAAGAAAGCAAAATCACCGCATGCGAAATTAAATGTCTCCGTAAAACCCTTAACATCACAAGACGAGACAGGCAGAGAAATAAAGAAGTAAGAGCAGCTATCGGCACTGAGTTCTGCCTGCGTTACATAGAAAGACAGAGGATAAAATGGTTTGGCCATCTGTTACGTATGTCACCTGACCAGCCAGCCTTGAGAGCCTACTACACCAAGCACTCAGGCTATAAAGGAAGAGGAAGGCCATGCAAAAGGTGGATCGAGGGTGTCAAGGAAACCCCGAGAAAACATAACATCACAACTGAAAGAGCTGCGGAACTGGCCTACCATAGAAAACTGCATCTCCCCTCGACGCTTAACGGCAACAGAGGATGAAAAAGAAAAAGTAATGTAAGTAAAAGTACTGAGAAGTATATTTCTCCGTAAGTTCCATGGTCTCTTTTGTTTCCTTTCTTTTTCCAAATAGCTACAATGACACCTCGTTGCCAGTCATCGGGTGTAGTTTTTGTCGCCCAAGCCAGGTTAAATATCCTCCATAGCCAGAGTTCTCCGATATGGCCGCATAGTTTGATCTCTTCTGCTGTGATGTTATCAACGCCTGGCGCTTTGTTTGTGAGGCTTTTCTTTAAAACATTTCGGGTTTCACTCAGCAGTATTGATGGTTCTGGGGTGGTTTCTTTTGGTGAGAAGCTGTTTTCTGTTGTTTCTACTGTGGGATTCAGCCACTCCTGGAAATAGCGTTTCCTTCTTTCCTTAATCTTTGGCTTACTAATAATAGGATTTCCGTTCTCATCATTGACTATTTCATTCTTCCCGTATCCTCATGCTTTTAACGCTCTTGTAAAACTCTCTAGGGTCTTCTTTATATTTTGTTACCAGCTGTTCTCTATATACCGTCCAGGATCTGTTCTTAGCTCCCTTTACTACCTTGTTGTTTGACGGCGTTCCTTTCTGTATAGGATGTAATCTTTCTCTGTCTTTGATTTCTGCCAATTTTTGAATGCCTTTTTCTTCAGCTGGATGGCTTCTTTTATTTGGTCATTCCATTATATAGTTGTTTTCCTTTTCTGCCGTCCTGTTTTCCTGGTGCCGCACCTTCCTTTTAATGCTCTGTACACACATGTTTTCGAAGCGGCTCCATTCCTCTTCAATGTCTCCCAGTTGTGTGGGCAAGTTGTGAAATACATTTTTCATTCGTTCATGTATCTTATCTTTGGTATCGCCATTTATATTTCTGCG